GGAGCAGAGCAGAACAATTCGGATATTTCAAACATCACTCGGGCCCCGGGGCGGTAATCGCTGCCCGCCTCGGGTCACTAATGCACTCAAACTCCGCTAATGACCCCGGGCCGGGACGAGATAAGCGCACAAAGGCGCGGTCAGTGTCCGGCCGGACCCCCGATAACCCCGAGCTCGGAACGCCGCTGACATTCCCTGCCGTGAACGTGAACCAGTCTGCAGCCAAGAACCGATTTCCATTTCCCCCCATTAATTAGACAAATTAATTAAAGCGCTCTTTGGAATCTRTTCCCCATTCAAGGCTGGGATGCTGCAGAGATTTTGTTAAATGGTTCAGAGAAGGCTTATTAATCCTGAGATGAATTCCATCAAGCACTGCAAAGCACCAACTTCAAGTGCATTTGTGGAGAAGAAAGCTTTGCAAATCAGATAGGAAAGCCACAAAAGTGCTGGGTATTATCCTAATCTGGGGAGCGTTTAATTTGACACTCTTATGTCAAGATATTAGAAGAGAATGAGCAAATGGCCTGATAAATATGTACTTAAAGAATGACAATCCTCATAATCAGTTAATTTCTATTTATCTTATGATACCCTTTTCCACAGAAACTTGTATTAGAAAATAAATAAGATTACAGGGTAATTCCCAGAGCTGTAAGAACATAAAACACGTGTCTGCCCTTAAAGGCAGAAGTTGTGTTTGATTGCACAGCACTTCCAGGGCCATTCCACCCCCTCCAGGCGTGGGATTGTCTCCTGCAGGGCCTGGTGCCATCAACCCCTCACTGTGGGGCAGTCCAGGGCCATGATCCTGCTATGAGGAGATCTGGGATCCCAACCCATTCCCAGCCCTATTCCCAGCCCTATTCCCAGCCCTATTCCCAGCCCCATTCCCAGACCCATTCCCAGCCCCATTCCCATTCCCATTCCCAGACCCATTCCCACCCCATTCCCATTCCCATCCCATTCCCACCCCATTCCCATTCCCATTCCCATTCCCATTCCCATTCCCATTCCCATTCCCATTCCCAGTCCCAGTCCCATTCCCAGCCCAGCTCTGCTGCCAGACACGGTGGAGAGGGGATGGGAAAGTGTCAGACAGGGAATGGGATGGGATGGGATGGGATGGGATGGGATGGGATGGGATGGGATGGGATGGGATGGGATGGGATGGGATGGGATGCCCTGGGACAGGGATGAGGACGAGCCCCAGCAGCCTCAGGAACGGGCTCAGCCCAGGCAAGGCAGGACCCCACAATTCAGAATTCCCCCTCTCCTGCTGCTCCTTGGGTTAGGGTGGGATTTAGGTCCAGGAGCAGCCACGGGACAGGGATCAGAGCTTGGAGAACTTGCTATGCCAAACCTTGGAGATTTCTTCTGCAAAGCACAGTGCACAGGGGAGCAGAGCCCGAGGGAAGGGTTTGAGGGGCTGTTTCTGCTCAGGCASTGCCTGAGAGGATTTGAACTCAAAATTCCTCATCAGAGAGGCCAAAGAACAGCCTTAAAGGCTTMAGGATGTGACCCAGGCTAGAAACAATAGCCAGCCCAGAAGAAATGAGTTTATTATCTGCTCTAAAGGGACTTTATTGACTCGCTGAAAAAAAAAAAAGTCATATTTAATATTGAAGTATAACTTTTAAAAACAGAGATGCTGACTCCATAAAAATGTGCTCTCGAGCTGAGACCTTGACTCCAAAGCGTAATCCAGGGTTTTTTTATAGCTGTGCTATAAATCATCAAAATTAAATGTTTGCATTAGCAGCGGCGGGAGCAGCCTATGCAGAGTGTGGGGATGTGTCACCCCGCACAAAGCTCAGCACTTGCACAAACCCTGGCGTGGTTCTGACCCACGGAAGGGCTGGGTGGAGTTTGCCTCTGTTTCTGCTGGGTTTTGCTGGTTTTCTGTGGRTGAAAAATGGGTGAAAAATRAGRAGTTTCCCCCCACTCACACRGTGGGTGCTGAGCTGGCACCRCCAGCGCTGGSCTCGGCCTCCCTGAGCTGCTTTCTCAGGCAGGAATATCACCCTGTAAGCACCCAGATGGCCCTGGCCAGCCTGGCCCCGGGCTTTGGAGGATTTTTCAGCTCTGTCCTGCCCGTGAACCCCATCCCCGCACCGCACACGCTCTCCAGAGCCCGCCCAGCCAACCTGTTAACATCCCCTCCTTCACACTCCGCACCGAGCCAGCTGCTCTGCCTAGCAAAATACAGCTGGAGAGGTTTATAAATAGTAAATGAAGGCTTGCTGCAGCCACCGCGGCTGGSCAGTGCTGGAGGAGTGAGTAATTCATCACCGGGGTGTCACCCCGCGGTTCTGCCCACCCCATCCCACTGTGAGCCGGGCACTGCTCGCCCCGCTGGGCTCAGCTCCTTTCGTGTCTAAACCTCTCCTCAGAGTTCATTTTGTCATTCAGCCCAAGAAGGTGACAGGTCGCTCACAGAGGCTCCAGGATGTCTTTCCCAGGGAGGAGAAGGTGCTGTAGGGCTCAGGAACCCCCTGTGTGCCCTGCTCCCACTGTGGGGATGTTTCAGATCCATTGCAGCCGTACAAGCTCCATCTTTTCTGGGCAGGAGGGGCTGGAGAGATGAACCCGGACATCTGACCCCTCCTCCTGCTGTGGCTTGGCTTGGGGGAGAGGGGAGAGAGGGCTCGGTCCCTCCATCTGCTGTGAGCATCAGCCCAGGGTCTCCGGGGTGCGGATCCATATCAGAACTCAATTAGAAAACGAGCCCTGCCTGTGAAGGACGATTGTGTTTCAAGTGTTTTTATAATTAAACCTGAGAAGGTGGCACGGGCTATTCGTGAAGGGCCTTCGCAGAGTGTTTCCTGCTGTGTGGAGGAAGGGGGGAGCAGAGTTCATTTCATGGGTGGTTTTATCATTTTCAGTGAGCACAAAGGGGAAAAAACTCTCTGAGGGGTCAGGATCATCATCATCATCATCATCATCATCATTACCACCCTGTACTGCTGCTGGTTCATTGTTTGATACCCCACAGTCACTGAGCTTTCAGGGGCTGAAGGGGTGCAATGGGGTCCTGCCCCTCCATCCCATGGGGAACCTCCAAAGGAATTGCTGCTGGAATCGCTCAGAATTGTTGAATGTCAGGAGGATTTGGTTGGAAGGACTGTAAATCCCATCCCATCCCACCCCTGCCATGGCAAGGACAGTGGAGGTGGGTTATTAGGGATTTCTCCCTAATAATTATTCTAAATCTCACTTTATTTTAAAGCCATTTCCCGTTATCCCATCACCATCTGCCTCTGTTAAAAGTTGCTTTCCTTCTCTGTTACCAGCCCCCTTCAAGTACTGGAAACTGTGGGGCTTTGGCTTTGTGCYGCTGCTCTTGAAGTCCAACACTCAGAAGAAAAGTTATTCCCTTTCCACATCCCTGCCTGAATTATTTCCCACTCGCAGAGCTGCTACCTACAGGATATAATCATGAGCACAGTAAATCATCGTGCCATGTCAAGCTGCAAGTGGTTTTGGAGTKAGATCTGGAGTTCAAATCTGCCTCTGACTGTGTATTTTATCTCAAATGTACTTTTTAATTTGTCCATCTGAAATTCTTCTAAATTTAGGGGGTATCCAGCAAGAAGAGGAAAAGTTTTTCGAAGTGACTGTGGTTATTTTACTGCCAAAGTTTCTGCAGGGAATCTCAGCCCAGCGCTGGAGCTGGGGCTGTGCTCAGGACTGGGCATCCTTCTCCTGCAGGCACGGGCTCTGCTCTGCCCACAGAAACACCCAGAGAGTGCACACGGGTTATTCAGCTCCAAATTGCATTACTGTTGTTTGCACAGATCCATTTAATGCCTCCCTCTCACAATTTTAATAATTTTTAACAGGCTGTTAAAAAGCTGGTGCCATGGCTCCCGTTAAAGGAATGGGAGTTTCAATAWTCTTGGTTTCAGGTGAATTTTGAACGTGCAGGTGTCACCTCCTTTGGTGGCTCCACGATGGGGACGTGGTGACAGCACAGGGCAGTGATGAGATGAGGGGAGGGGGAACAAACTCCTCATGTCTGTCCTTGAGCTCCCCTTGCCGGGGGTGGCAGGTGGGGATGAGGAGGACTTGGCCAGGCTGATGAGGGAACAGAATAATTCCATGCCCAAAAGAAGACATTTGGGGGTTTCTGTGCTTCTCCCTGGAGCWCGGCTCTGGGCTGCACCATTATTGGCTGCCAAGGCTGCCGAGGCCAAGGCTGCACGCTCTGAGCTCACATTGTCTGCAGGAAATAATCCCCACTCCATCATTCCCCCGCAGATCTCCACGTGAGGSTATTTCCTGCCCAGCCAGGGCACGGGGAGGCAGCAGAAACTCTTCCACAGCCCATAATCCCAGTGTACACCGTGCCAGACATGGAGCACGGCTCTGCTGGCACCGAACCCACGGGCCAGCGAAACCACAGATCATCACTGCTGAACCAGCACCTTAAAAAATGGCATCGTGGCAGAAGGGACTGTCTTTAAAGCACAAAGAGCAGAGAGAACAATTGTATTAAACTGCGTTCATGAATTCATAATAAAGTTCAATTTGCCACCATTTATCATGTGACTTAAAACTAAATTGAGTTTTTAATGCAAAAGAAAAAGAGTTTTGTGCTTTTTTGGAAATAATGTAAAATCTTTCATGCCATTCACAAAGCATTTGTATTAGCACCAGTGTGTACAGATTAATTTATTTATTTTCATTAAATCGTCGCTGCTTCCCATTGTTCCATCATCCTCGGGGACAATCTTTATTCTTTCGTGTGTTTTTTAAGAGCTGAAGAGTCACAAACACCACGTTAAAGAGGCACAGTAGCTTTAGATGTCTGTGGGTTTGGAGTGCTGGAAGGAGTCAAAAGCCATGAGATGGTGAAGGCCATCGTGGTGGTGGTGGTGGTGGCATTGGTGTTGATTTTGGCATTGGTGTTGATTTTGGCTTTGGTGTTGATTTTGGCATTGGTGTTGATTTTGGCTTTGGTGTTGATTTTGGCATTCATGTTGATGCTGCCATTGGGGTCAGTGTTGGTTTTGGTGTTGATTTTGAGGTTTGGTGCTGATGTTGACATTGTTGTTGATGTTGGTGCTGGTGTTGATTTTAGCACTGGCATCAATGTTGGTTTGGATTTTGGAGCTGGAGTTGATGTTGACATTGGTTGATGTTGGCCCTGGCATCGATGTTGGAGTTGGCACATTGGGACAGGACTAAGGAAGGCACCAAAACAGAGACTCAGTCCCTGACCTGCCAGAGAGGCACCAGCAGCAAACCTTCATCCCCATCAACTCCACATGGAAATCACGGAAATCACAGAAAACACAGAAATCACAGAAATGATGAAAATCCAGTGCCAGAGCCCCAGCTGCCTTTAGGCTCCCCATGGACACGGGGTGATCCTGGATCAGGAGCTGCAGCAGAGACCCTCACCCGTGCAGGATAAAGCACAAACGCCTCCCCCTCCACCCCTGCCGAGTTCTCTCCTTATCAGCGCCGTTTGTGCGCCCGCCGAAAATAATCATCTGTGAATGGAGCCCTAATTACATTAGCGCTAATCCATTTTCCTCTCTGAAGCTGCTCGTCAACAGTTTATTCTCTCACCTCCGAGATGAAACCGAATGTCAATTCCTGAGATAACATTGACGTGAACTTATGTATCAGGCAAGTAGACAAATACCATTATAATCGTTTATAATCCTTTAAAGCTGTGACTGAGAAGTGGCATTTGGACTGGATTTAAACTTGGCGTTGTCCGTGCGGAAGATTAACCGCTCCATAAGACTTTGATTTCGGAATATTGCCCATTAGAGAGTTTTGACATAGGAAATTGAAGTATTATATATAGTTTTAACGTGGTTAACAGAGTCTGACACAAACAATAACATTCCAACTTTGGTTAATTCCTTCGCATCCCATTTACAGCAGGGAAAACTCCGCTGCCGTCCAAGAAGCGCCCCAGCAGGACTTTGAAGATTATTCCTGCTGGATGGGAATTACACATCCCGGCTCATTCCTGCTGCTCCTGATCGCTATCGCTGCTCTCCAGGAGCTGCTCTGCTGTTTGTGCAACCAGCCCWGGCCTCTGGGGCCAGCACCACCCCACAAAATCATGAAATCATGAAATCTTGTATGTTGGAAAAATCTGAGATCTCGTCCAGCCATTCCCCCGCGCTGCCAAGGCCACTGCGAACCACGTCCCCGAGTGCCACATCCACAGGGCTGATAAATCCCTCCAGGGACGGGGACTCCACCACTGCCTGGGCAGCTGTGCCAGGCTGGACAGGCCTTTCCTGGGAATTTTTCCCTGATGGAGCAAAGGAATGGCAAATTGAATGCAATGTTTAGGGCTCATCCTCCCCGAGCGCTCCGCAGAGGCTGATGGCCGCGGGCAGCAGTGGCTGCTGACAAAGGAATGGATCTCACCCAGGGCACTGCATTTTCATGCTGATCTTTGCACTAAAACTGCAAATTCCAGACAGTGCCCATGCAGGGGTAGAGCCAAACCCCACAGGGATCGGTGCTGTGGCCCTTCAAGCATGTGGCTGGGTGCTCCAATAAAATAAAAAGCAGGATCACACTCCAGAGCTTCCAGGAGGGAATCAGTGATCAGTTTAACACTTTTCATTGCTGCTTGATCCTGAACATCAGAGGCAGTTTAGGAGGGGTGTAAAGGGAATGTCAGTGGTGGTGCCTGTGGAGAAAGAGGAGGCAAAAGGAGGGTGGYCAGGGGAGAGGTGGAAGCGCTGATTTACTCTGGTTTTGATGTTCTCCAAGGCCCAGGGAGGTGCCAGGCTGCTGCTGGTGTGGTGTGGGCTGAGCCCTCTCCAGCCTTTGAAAAGCTGAAGGTGCTTTCCATGTGCCATTCATGATTTCCAGGATTTTGTCCTATTGGAATCCTCTCCTTTTGCCCCAGGAGGGATGTGAGGGACTGCAAACAGCTCCCAGGGGTGCTGGAGTGGCTGGGCACGGTCAGACAGGGATGTTTTGGGGCTCTGGATGAGGTGAGGGAGCTSTGAGCCCCCCAGAGCCACCCCCACGCTGCCCCCCGGGTCCCCAGCYCGCAGGACTGGGTGTCTGTTGGAGGCACATTCCAGTCCATGCAAACAGCTTGCTGTCATCTGGGTTCAATCTGGGCAGAAATGGGCTCCAGAAGTTTTGGAATATTTCTATAAGACCACAACGCTTCTTATCAAAACATTTCCCATTATTATTTTCCAGTCCTCCCTCCATCCCCAGTGCCTCCTCCCTCCCTSCGGTGCCCAGCCATTAGCAGTGCTATCATTTTTTCTCTCCATCTGGGAAGTAGAGGAGAGTTTTCCTCTGAAGAGGGCAGTCCCAATGCTCCTGGGGCTCCCAGCCCATCCTCCATCTGCGGTCACACAAGTGTTTCCTCCCGGGCATTCTCCCTGGAAATGAAAGAACACGAACACGCCGGGCTCATTTGTTTTGTGTGTTTAATTTCGGCGTAGGTTTGTGTAAGTACTTATCGTGCTCTCCTCGGGAGATAATCCAAGACAAATGTGCAGGCAAGAGGCAGGGCTAACAAATGGAGCTGCCTCCCAAAAACTCCGAGGGGTGAATCGGGGTGGGAGAGCAGCGCCGGAGCCTGGGAGAAGGGACGGTCCCAGGAAGAACAGGAAGTTATGGACACAGCTGAAATCAGCATCAATATYCACAGAGCCAGACAAAACATCTCARATCRGAGCTGCTCGTAAATCAGGGAGAGAAGAAGGGGAAAGGGAAGAGGTGAGGAGAAAGTGAGGAATGGCTGAGGGTGAGGGGATTCGGCTTGTTCAGGGTGACATCTGCTCGCTCTGAAGTGGAACCACCTGTTAGCTCATTAAAATGTGCAATTAATTTATGTGGAAGCAAGGAAGGCTCCATCTCATCAAAACCTTCCCTTTTAGCCCCGTGCTCTGAATGTGAGCCGGGTAAAACCCTGCATGGCACCACTGATCCCACAGGGAATGATGGAGGGTCCCCAGCACGGCCCCCATGGTTCAGAATCCCTGAATCCTCTGGGTTGGAAAAGCTCTCTGAAATCATCGASTCCATCCATTCCCACTGCCCATGTCCCCAGTGCCACATCCACTGTYCAGGGCTGTTCAATCCCCCCAGGGAAGGGGATTCTGTCACTGCTCTGCTTCAGGCCTTGGCAACCCTCTCCATGAAAACATTTTCCCAAATATCCAACCCAAACCTCCCCTGGGGCAATCTTGTYCTGTCCCTTGTTCCCTCAGAGAGGAGCCTGACCCTGACCTCAGGGACCTCCAGATGGAGGGTGAGGATGGCAGAGAACCTCTGCAAGGACCCTCATCACCCTGAGCATGCAGACAGGGGCTGTGAACCACCGCTCAAACACATCCCAAAGATTTGTATCCCAAATTTTGCAGCACCAGGAGCAAGGATTGTGCAGGACAGGCTTCGTACCATCCTCTTGCAGCCCTGCTCTCCAGCACTCACCCATGTCAGAACACTTGAATTTTTCATTATCAAAAAAAAAAAGATTTTCAATAATTTATTTCGGACCCGCCAGAGGAGGGCTCGGGCCCCCTGGGGGTCCTGGGCCTTGGGGCTCCCAGGATTGGGCTCCAATTAAGTGCAACACTCTCCAGATTTGGTTCCCATTATTGTCTTCCTTTGGCAGGACCGACCCGAGCGCTCCAATTGGAAAGGCCCCAGAATCCACAGTCTCCTAAAATATTTTCAATAATGCTGAGAGCAATTTTCCTTAGAGCATGTAAGGATTTCAGCRGAGGAGCCAACTTTCCCAGAGGAATGATCCAATTATGGTGCTGGATGCTCTTGTCAATCTCTCCCTCAGGGACGTGGAAAATCAAAATTATGATTTATTTTTTCGAATGTGACAGTGAGCGTAAAGGCAGAAATCTAAACCGTGCCCTTATCTCCCCATGCACCCCCAGCTCCTTCTCTGATACTGTCAGCTAAAAATACCCCCTCGATTCAGGCAGAGTTCTGCTCTAATGACAGCACAGGCAGGGCCCAGCCCCRGGAGCAGCTGAATGATGACTTTTTAATGGTGACCTTTGCATGTAAAAATTGAGTCAAAATTACTCCGCTYCTCGCTAATGCAACGAGGGAAATGTGGTTTGAACCCCGCGGTTGGTGCTCGGTGACAAAGGGGGAAAGCTAAAAATATCTGCCACAGGGTAGGGGAGGGGAGGGGGCAGAGGGGTGGGGGAGAGTGAGGAACTGCTGAGCCTTTGGGAGGTGCTGAAAGGTGTCCCCAGGGTGCTGAGCAGGGGCTGTGCCAGTGGGATGGGACCGTGATGGGCACCATGGGCCATGGGAACAGGGATGGGATCTCAACAAAAATCATGGGCTGTGCTAAGGGGGATGGGATCCCAACAAAAATTATGGGCTGTGCCAACAGGGATGGGATCCCAACAGGAGCCATGGACCACGGGAACAGGGATGGGATCCCAACAAAAATCATGGGCTGTGCCAGTGGGATAGGACCGTGATGGGCACCATGGGCCACGGGAACAGGGATGGGATCCCAACGGGCACCATGGGCCATGGGAACACGGATGGGATCCCAACAAAAATCATGGGCTGTGCCAACAAGGATGGGATCCCAACAGGAGCCATGGGCCATGGGAACAGAGATGGGATCCCAACAAAAATCATGAGCTGTGCCAACAGGGATGGGACCGTGATGGGTACCATGGGCTGTGCCAGAGGGATGGGATCCCAACAAAAATCACGGGCTGTGCTAAGGGGGATGGGATTCTGACGGGTACCATGGGCTGTGACAACGGGATGGGATCCTAATGGGCACCAAGGGCCATGGAAATAGGGATGGGATCCCAATGGAACCATGGGCCATGGAAACAGGGATGGGATTCGATGGGCACTATGGGCAGTGCCAATGGGAAAGGATCCCAACAGGAGCCAAGGGCCATGGGAACAGGGATGGGATCCCAATGGCCACCCTGATGGGCATCATGATCTGTGCCAACAGGAACGGGACCCCAATTGGCACCAGCTCTGTGCCAGCTGGGATGGGACCCTTTTGGGCACCAGGGGCCATTCCAGCTGGGACAGGACCCTGTGAGCTCCCCGTGAGCTCCCCTACATCCCCTGATGGGCACTGTGGGCCGTTCCAGCTGGGACAGGACCCCGTGAGCTCCCCTACATCCCCTGACGGGCACCAGGGGCCGTTCCAGCTGGGACAGGACCCCGTGAG